CGTGTACAGCACACTACTTTGGTGTCTTTTAATCAAAACGTGTCAATAGTCGTGTACAGCACACTACTTTGGTGTCTTTTAATCAAAACGTGTCAATAGTCGTGTACAGCACACTACTTTGGTGCATTTTAATTAAAACGTGTCAATAGTCGTGTACAGCACACTACTTTGGTGTCTTTTAATCAAAACGTGTCAATAGTCGTGTACAGCACACTACTTTGGTGTCTTTTAATCAAAACGTGTCAATAGTCGTGTACAGCACACTACTTTGGTGTCTTTTAATCAAAACGTGTCAATAGTCGTGTACAGCACACTACTTTGGTGTCTTTTAATCAAAACGTGTCAATAGTCGTGTACAGCACACTACTTTGGTGTCTTTTAATCAAAACGTGTCAATAGTCGTGTACAGCACACTACTTTGGTGCATTTTAATTAAAAAGTGACAATAATCGTGTGCAACACACCACTTTGGTGTCTTTTAATTAAAAAGTGTCAATAATAAATGGAATGACTTTCGTTTTCCTTCATATCCAGTAGTTCAGTACATCCCCCACCCCTCCATCTTAATCCTTTGTTTCTTCAATCAATTACAAAATGGAAACTGTGACAAGCTCAGCTGAACTGACGACAAAATCCGAGCAATTATTTTTCCAATTAAGGAATTTAAAACTTTCAATTAATTATTAATGGATCAAGACTAATCAATCAGCTTCCGTTTCTGGTTTAAAATTAAAACAATATTTTATTATTTGCTGTAGCTTGAACTTCCTCTTCTTAGTGCCAATAATAAATTTATTTTATTCAATCAATCAACACAAAAAAGGGGAAAAATGCAAATAAAAAAAGGACATAAAATTTAATTATTTTTTTTTTCATTTTTTTTTCTTTTTGATTTGCTTTGTTCTTGAACTTTTTATGCTACTTTTTTTGTTGAAGGAGGTTTGTAGCTTCATTTATGCATTGGTCTGATTGAATTTGATTAGCTAATTGACTGTTTTGTGCAACCTTTTTCGTCTTTTAGATTTAAACAGTCTCAAAGAAGTCAAAAAGACTCCAAAACGGTGTGGAACGTACGACTATTGGCACGAATACTTCAAATTTAGTATATTAAGTCACCAAGAAACCAAAAACGTGTAGAACGTCCGACTATTGACACACACACACACACATACTTCAAATTGAGTATATTTAGCCAATGAGACACAAAAATGGTGTAAAACATACGACTATTGTCACAAAATCTCTATGCTCAGCTTCTCTGCCATCTTCAACGAAATCCAGCTGTGAAAATTAATTGAATTTACAAAAATAATTAACCAAAAACACTTCTACCCTTTATGAGTGAATAAAATAAAATTTAATCCAATCGTCATTGCCTTCCAAATCAATCGGAGGCAAAATGACCCAAGAAATTGCTCAAAATTCAATTTGGAAGCAAATCAAACAACTTTTTTATGCAGAAATTTTTTTCATATTTTTAATTGAATTTTTTTCGAACCTTTTTTTTGCTGCTGCCTTCGGACGGACCCCAACCCCATCAGCCTTCATTCAATTTACATTTTTTCCATCTCAATTAGCATCCTTTTCATTCCTAATAAAAATTATCTCGTCAATCCATTAGTCATTCATCACATTCAATTAGATCCACTATGCCTGCCATGACTTGAAAATTAGCTCCTCATTATATTCGCCCAAAAAACTTATTACAGACGCAAAAGTTTTATACCTTTAAGGTATTTACGGCACAAAGTAACAGAAACAAGTGTTGTTCTTCTTCTAAATCCAATTAAGGTGTGTCAGTGGACGTCGAAATGGGAGGCAAAAATGTAACTTTTTTCTGTGTTTCTGTTCCGTTTGATTCACAGTTTTAAGCAGAAAAGTTTCGTGACGTAGAAAACGTGCCGCAGTAATGGAGAGATGGAAGGGAGGGAAGATAAAGTTTTGTTTGGTCGTGAATAACTAAGCACTAGTGATGTATGAATAATAAGATGAGAGTGGAGTTCTTGTGGGGATTTTTTGCGAATATTTATAGAGGTTAGGTTGACTATTAAATCAAGTTCTACATGAATTGTTGAAAAAATGTTTATGCGCCATATTCGAGTACCACTTTAAACTATTCCACTGAATATAACACACACTATTAAATTTTCGTCAATTGCTCTGTATTTTCTCTAACATTTTTTTTGTCAACATTTAAAATTTCCATCTGTGCGCCATTTAAGGAACACTTTAAATTATTTTGCTGAATATGGCACACGAGAGCTATTGTTTCATTGATTTTTACAAATTTTCTTAAACATGAAAACACCACTTTCAGAAAGCTCATAATTGCTGGATAATCGAGAATCTCGTTAGAGTGGTCCCAAAAATATGACGCACGTTTGCAAAATCCTTGACTTTACATAAAAAGAAGTTTGAAGCGTACGACTCTCAATGCAACCTATATGAACTCAAAAAAGGTGCACAACTTACGAAAGTTGATACAAAGACCTTACTTTGAGCAAAGCTAGCCATGAAGCTATCAATATACAATTCTGAAAAACCAAATTCACCCCAAAACCACCACAAAGGACTACAAACTCTTCACAATCAGCCACCAAATAAGCAGAACGAAAAAAAGTTAAGTGAAAGAATGAATGATGAGTGTTCATCATGTTTTTGATGATGATGATTCTGATAATTCAGTCATGCGAGACAAAAAAAGAATAAAAATGAAGAAGAAATGAGAAAAAAAACTTTTCACATAAAAGTCACAAAAGAGAGAAGAAGAAAAAGTTTTATTAAAGAATGTTGACATGAAGCAGAGCACAAGAATGTGTGTGTAGGGAAAACTAGGTTGGTAGGATAAACTTTCATGTAATTTATATCAGAGTCAAAGAGTCTAATTGAAGTTCATTTATAGTATATCGAGTGGGAAAAATCTGAATGAGTAAGTAAATGGGGTTGTGTGTTGACTCATGTGAGTAATTTGATGTGTTTCTGAGGGGATTTTGTGAGTTTTGGAGGTTATGTGATGGATTTGGTGTTTTACTTTAAAGCTAAACTGAATATGTTGATGTAAATTGATAAGTTTTCAATGGCGTGCGTCATATTGGGAGAGACAGTAAACTGTTTTTCTGAATATGGCGCACAAAATTATCAAAATTTACATTTTAGACTAATTTGGTCATTTGTTATCAATTCTAGAACAAAAAATGACATTAAAAAGAGTCATCATGACATGTATTGGGAAATGAGAGTCAAGATAACATCAATGCGAAAGTGGAGTAGCTATGACATCCATAACAAGGATTTACAGGAATCAAGAGGAAATACAAGTATATTTTGGGATAAAAAATAATTTTAATCATAGAATTCATGGTACTTATTTCATCACTAGCTGTGCGCCATTTTATCCGACACTTTTAATGCTCCTCACAAATATGACGCACATTTTAACACTTCCTTTGTCAATCGTCTAACAACTTTTTCAAAATGACAACCAATAAAACTCAACAACTCACATAACAAAGCAATAACAGTAAAAAATTCCACGATCAGCACCCTTAAGTCCCATAAAGCTCATCGTTAGATCCACAAGCAATAATCCACACAACTAAAGTCTAATAACTTTCACGTTACACCATCAGCAACATAAACAACAACAGCATCTGAAACTGACTACAAATGCTGCTTTAAGAATGAAAAACTTTCGATTTTAATCAGCTGCAGACGTGCTGAGAATATCGTTTGTCTTTAATCATCATGATACACAAATGTGAGAGTGCTTACGTCTGTTTGGATCTTCATCAAATGAAAATGATTTAATTTACTTAATGCGCAACTTTATTTGAATTTTGTCATGTTTTGAATGTCAAGTGTGCTGAAGATTGAATGCAGCTGCTGTTGGAAGCTTTTTTTATGAACTTAATTGAAGTGCTGCAAACTTTGCTGATCTGTTTATTGGATTCTGAAGTGTTTTTCAGATTTTATGATGTGATGATCTCTGAGAAATTAAGATGTTTGTGACTTTGATGGTTGTGGGGTGCATCTGAGGTGAAAATTGGAGTTTTTAATGTCAAAACAGCACACATTTTAATGAATTTAGAGCAAGTTATAATGAAAGAGGTCAGATCAATAGAAGTTAAGCTTAAAAACAACGTAATGGTCTCATTGAAAAGTAATTTGCTGGTGAAGGGGTTCAATCTCTATGATATATGAAAATTATAGAACCTCGAGTACTTAAGATCCTAAATTAATGACTGTCACTAGGTGGGACCCTGCAAATTTTGAGGTTAAGTTATGTATTTTGTGTTTTCAATTGAATAAGATTTGACGATTGCATATTCTTTGATATTTTCTTTAGCATGCGTCATATTGGGAGAGACAGTAAACTGTTTTCTTGAATATGACGCACGACAACACTGATCTAGATAAACATTGATCACACCCTACAATATAATTGATAAGCCAATAAAGTAAATGCTTTGGATACACCAAATAGCTCAAGTCGGTTAATCAACTTAAATCGAATCAAGCACCGCCAGTTAGAAGTCGAATTTCTATTCAATTAACCGACTTGTGCTCTTCAGGTATATTTCATCAAATCGCAGATTTATTGCTTTAGAGCAGTGATGTCCAAACTTTTTTGAGCCACTGCACGACTTGAGGGGGAAGCCATTACCAAAGTCGCACACAGCATACGGCTTGCGTAATTCTACGACACATCAGTGTGCCGCGGCACACAGTTTGAACAACAATGATGTAGAGAAAAAACAAATCAAAATTTAAACCAAAATAAAAAAGAATTATTTTTAATATAAAAGATAACATTTTTCATTCACAAAACAAGCTGTCGTACAATAAACTGTAGCATTTAAATACGTTCAGGGCCATAACTGCGTATTTATTATTTTGTCATCGGAAATGACGCGAAGAATTTTTTCTCAACGCTAATTTTGCGATTTTTTGGCAGTTCCTATTTGTTTGTTGGAGGAATTTGATGTATTAGAACATTCAGCATGCAGTTTAGCTTATGGTATGTGTAAGATCCTTTATAAGTGACAATCTATTGACAATTTATCCTTCATTACAGCCTGTCTACTGTCATTTTTTTATCAATTTTAAATATTTCATCATCAACTGAGATTGAATGCAACTACAAAGTCGAATATTTCCTACCTGTTGGCTTTAAATACACCTGCGATGTCCTCAACAACCCCAACATTAACTCAACTGAGAAATCTCAAATTAAATCCATCGTCGGTTCACATTTGCAGCATAAATCAAACTCAGATGAAGTTTTTTTCTACGTCAAAGAGAAGTTGTTGCTTTATTTCCCACAAAATCTTGATAAATTCTTCACAAACTTACGAGCAATTGTGATTGTGTCTAGTCAGTTAAAGGAAATTCATCAAATCAACTTGAAATCTTATCAGCAGCTGACTTATCTGACATTGTATGACAATGACATTGAAGTTCTTGAAGCTAACCTTTTCAAATTCAACGAAAACTTAGAATACATCGATTTGGATCAAAATAAAATTATAAAAATTGGAACTACTGCTTTTAATGGTTTGGACAAGCTGCACACGTTGGATTTGAGGAACAATGGATGCATCAACATGAGGGCAGATAAGAATTTAACAGCAGTTCTGGAAGTTGTTGAGAAAGCTGAGAAGTTCTGTGGATTTGATGCAACAAGCACAACTGAAGATAATGATGAGGATTTGGATTTTGAGGTTATAGACATGGTTTCAACTACAACTGAGGTTAAGAGTGATTTAGATGATAAAGCTAGTCTAATTGAGGTGGTAAGCTTAACAAAAGATCAAGTAAAAAATGAAAACATTTTAAAGAACATCAGTGAATCGATTGATGCCTTCAGAGAAGCTGTGACTTGCTCATTAAGAACATTAGGGCAGAAAATGTCAGAACATGATGAAAAATTCATTAATTTAGATGATAAAATGAACGATCTGTACGAGAATTTGTCAGGATTGAATGGAAAATTTTCAACTTTTGACGATGAAATTTCAAAAATTGGCGGAAAAATTATGGATTTTGAGGAGATCATTGCTGAACTTGGTAAACATTTTGAACAATTTTCCCTTAAATTTGAAGATAATGGACAGATTTTGACTAGATTTGAGGAAGATCTGACTGCCTTTGATGAAAATTTTTCAACATTTAGGAAGATTATGCTTGAGTTTGGTAATAATTTCACTCAATTTAATGAGAAAGCTGAGGAATTTGGTAAACAAAATGAAAATTTTGGAGATAAACTTAAAGATTTTGAAGGAATAATTAATCAAGTTGATGAAAAAATTGATCAAGTTGATGAAAAAATTGATCAAGTTGAGGGAAAAATTGAAAAAAATGATGAAAAAATTGATCAAGTTGATGGAAAAATTGAAAAAGTTGATGAAAATATCGAAAAAATCAGCAAAAAAGTTGATGATTTCAGCAAAAAGTTTGAAATTTTACATGAAAAAACTGAAAACTTCAACGAAAAGCTCACTGTTAATATACGATATTAACATATTTATTTATCTATGATATACTTTTATACTTTCTATAAATTTCACTAGATGTCACTTTAGTATATCCAAATTATGCTTTAGATTTGAATTATTTCATGTCGTTAATGAATTTGATAATCATTAGGTATTTCATAATTTATTGTAATGTATAACTTTAGAATGACGTTATGCTAAAGTTGAATATACTTTCATTCAAGGGCATAATAATTGCAGTGCCGTGTGCAATTTGGTGTGCACATTCCTTTGTAAGGCCTTGAAGCAATTAGTATAAAAGAAGATAGCATAGCATGAATAAAGGAGTCTATTTTTTATTATCAATAGATCCAGACCTTCTTGTTTTAAATATTTATCAACTTCACCATTTGCAGTTGTGCAACATTGGTCCTTCGGTTCGTTGAAACATTGATAGAGAGTGTTGTTAAGAATCGGAAATAATTTGTAAGTCTTTGAAAAAACTTTGAAAAAATTGAGTTTTTAATAAGCACTTAGAAATATTTTGCGGTCACACAGATAGTGTTGTGATGAGAAAAAGTTTATTCGGTGAATAAATCTTGAGCAAGTTTGTAAACCATTAAAGTCGTTTCTGGCCAGAACGCATCAGGTGAGTGAAGTGAATTTTTCAAAAGGATTAATTCATTTATTGTACTATAATTAATTCTAACAAGTGTGTGGTTAAATTAATATTATAGTTTTTGAGATCTTGTTGAGATTTGGTGAGAGAAATTTGTGGATTTTTTTCTTGTTTTGTGACATTAATTTAAAAATAATTAATTGTTCGGCATTAAGTGCATTTGCAAATTTAATTTTAATACAAAAGGTATAAAGGAAATTAGAATTTCGCAATATTACAAGTTTCTATCGGTAATTGGGAAATTGTGTGGAATAAAATTAATTATTTTATTCTTGGTTCTATCAAGGGTACAAAAGTTACCAAGGATTAGAACATTTTTTAAAATAAATCTTGTACAAGTTGAAAATCACATATTTGTGTGTCTAATTTTGAGGGTACCTAAGTTGCGAGCAAAATTAGTGAGCAAGGTCAATTAAAGCATTGTCTTTCTCTGGGCTTTACATATTAGTGTAGGTGACACATAATTGTAGAGACGTTTTTTTTATTGTATTTTCTTTTCTCTATACATTTGGGAAAAAAAAAAAAAAAAAAAAATTGCTTTTGTTCTCTCCGTGTGAGAGTTTTTTTTGTGTGCATAAGGTGCATTAGAATTATTTCATTTACCCAGTAAGAAATTTTTTTTTTAAAAAAATTCCGGTCTCAACAAGAGGTTCGAGCGGGATGGGTGACAAAAATGAAGATAATAAGATTGACGAAGAAACGTACAAAAAGTATGGAGAATTGCGTGATAAACAGCAAGGTTTTCAATTACTGGTTTCGGGTTTGTTTACAAGAGTTCAAAGTTTTTCTAAAAATACTCGTACTGAAGCAGAGGAAGTTCTAGGAAAACTTGTGACTGCTTGGCCAGAAGTCAAATCTTTACATGCTCAACTAAAAGAATTAAATAAAGAGGGTGTTCTTAATAATTTGAGTTATTTTAAAGAAAGTCGTTTTGACATAGTGAAGTCAATGGTTGATGTTTCAAAAAAGCGCATTTTTAAGTTGTTTCCTGATGAGCAGGATTTTCTTAATTTGTCTTCTTCATCTCAAGACTTTGAAGATGATTTTGAAGCGGGATCTGATATAGATGATTCAGCTGATAGTGAGCGCATGCAATCCATGCAAAAAGAGCTTAGTGAGCTTAAGAAAGTTGTCACTAGGGGAAGCTCTAGCAATAATCGAGAGGAACTATTGCTCCGTTATTTGCAGCATGTTGATGCTGACAATAATTTTCCTGAATTTCCAGCACTTGAGTCAGAGTATCGAGTCTGGCGTAAAAAAGTTAGGACTTGGGAGGCTAGGTCTCCAAATATTCCTTCAGAAATCAAGATTGATTTTCTGTTGAAAGCAATTAATAAGAATTCAAACGCTCGTTCTATCGTGAAATGTTTTGATAGTAGTGTAGGTTCGAATTATGATCAAATGCTTAAAGCTTTGGATGAGCAATTTTTTACAGCTCGTCAAACGGTTTATAATCATTTTATGGGACTTGTTAATCCAAATATTAAGGCTACCAAGGGTAGTGAATACCTTCAAGAGGTTTTTAATAAGTTTTCCTTTGAATGGAAAAATTTTGAGTCATTTACATCTGAGCTGATGAGCGAAGATCAACATGACAATGAGCTTGAAAAGCTAAAGTTTCAAATTAATGTTATTAAGAATGCATTGTTGTTTAATTTGTTGGATGAAGGCACTAAAAATAAAGTTGTGCTTCATTTAAAAATTACTCCTGATAAAATTCCAGATTTTGAAGATGTTTTGGAATATGTCAAGATTATGTTTCTCAATGTGCGTGGCACTAGGGAGCTTATATTACCTGCGGGAAGTAAGGTTAGGGAACCTACAAAAGCTTCAAATTGCAAGAAGATTGATATTCGCAATAAAAAAGCAATTTCCTGTACAATATGTCCAGAGGGGCATAAGACAGTTAAGTGTCCAAAATTTTTGGCAATGACGCCTCAACAGCGTCAAAATGCAATCAAGAAAAAAGGTCAGTGCTTTGTTTGCCTGTATAGAAAGTATAGGGATTGTAATTGTGCGACAAAGGATGATTGTAGAAAATGTAAAGAATGTGGATCTAAGCACCATATTTTATTGCATATGATAAATGAAAACTCAGAAACCTCCTCGAATAAGAAAGTTCAGGTTGAGCAAAAGGGAGTTTATTTTAACCCAGAAACATTTGACTGGGCTGAAGAAGCAATTAATGCTCCAGAGTTTAGTGTAGGAACTAAAAAGTTAGATGCATCTCATGCGGTTGCTGTTTTGCCAACTGCTGTAGTAAAATGTACTTCAGAAGATGGGATGAAATCAGTTGAAGCTAGGGTTCTTTTTGATACGGGAGCGGATCAACCGTTGATTACTTATGAGTTTGCAAAGCGTTTGGGACTTAAGTTGAAGCCAACGTTTATTAAAACATATGATTATCAGGGAAAAGAAACAATGCCAGTTCGTCATGAAACTAATGTTACAATGAATTCACTGCATGAGAAATATTCTCTTAATATAACTGCTTATTTGAGAAAATCTTTGGGAGGTGTAAAGCCAATTCCAGAAAAGCTTAGGCAAATAGTTAAAGCTCCTCTAGCTGATACCTCAAACAAGTTGACAGGAGGGAGAATTGACATTATCATGCCAGTTAAATATGTGGCTAAAATCAGAAAAGATGGTATGATTCGCATATCTGAAGATTTAATTTTGGAAAATACTAGATTTGGATATATGGCTTTAGGTTGTCTAGAAAATTCAGTAAATGTTCGTAGTTTGCATACTAGGATGGTTTCTGTGGGAGATCCAGAATTTAGAGCCATAGGAAGATTTTTCGATCAAGATACTTCTGAGCCTTGCGGTGATGAAGAGCTCGCGGAGCAAATGTTTATGAAATACTTTTCTCGGCTCAGAAATGGAAAAATGGTAGTAGGGATGCCATTATTAGAAGATCAGGGTTTAGGAGAAAGTAAAAGAGTGTGTATTTTTAGAACACACAGAGTAATGAATCAATTATCTCCAGAAATGAGAGTTGAGTACATAAGGCAATTTGAGGATCTTATGGTCAAAAGTTATATCAGACCAGCTGATACATCGGTACCAGGAAAATATTATGTGTCTCATTTACCAGTTATTAATAAAGATTCTCTTACACATCCTTTGAGAATAGTTTTTGACTCCTCACAGAAGACGAGTAATGGAAAAAGCTTAAATGACATACAGCTTAAAGGAAAGAAGTTGCAGAATTCATTACAACTGGTGCTGATCGGCAGTAGAATTTTCGAGGGCATGAATTCAACGGATTTGTCAAAGATGTATTTGTCTATGGATATGATTGATAAGCATATTCCATATCAAAGAACATTTATGCCAACCAAGGATGGGAAGTTAATGGAGGTAGAGATGCCAACAATAATTTTTGGGAATACGTCTAGTCCATTTTTAGCAATTCGAGCAATGCAGGAATTAGCTAGTCTTGAAAATAGAAGATTTCCATTAGCGGCAGACATCATTCGAGATGCTATGTACGTAGATGATGTCTTGTATAGTTTACCAGTGGGTGAACTTATGAAAGAAGCTTCGAGACAGCTGCAAGGAATTGCTGAGAGCGCTCAGTTGAAATTCAGAAAATGGGCGTCAAATGTTCCAGAAGCTATCGAGATGATTCCTGAAGAGGACAAATTGATAGCGATTGAGAAGGAAATTCGTGATGATGAAGTGTCAGGAAAGGCAGGAATTTTAGGACTTTCTTGGTTGATAGATTCGGATGAGTTATCTATTAAAATGAATAAATTTCGGCAGCTTAAAGAGGGAGAACCATTGACATTGAGGTTTGCACTGTCCCAAATTGCAACTGTTTATGATGCAATTGGGTTGTTGAGTCCATTATTTTTGACTGGAAGATTAATAATCAAAGAGATTTACAAAGAATTGCTCGACAACAAGCCGTTGAAAAAAAGAGACAAAAGATTAGACATTTCACTTTCAGAGGAATTGAGAAAGTTATGGTGTGTCTGGAGTGAAGATTTATGTGCCATCAATGATTTGAAAACTTCAAGATGGATTAGACATGTTCCAGGCAACAGACTGTCTATTATAGCTTTTGCTGATGCATCATTGGATGGTACGGGATCAACAATTTACTCTCACTCAGAAGGGGAGGGTGAAATACATGTCAATTTACTAATGGCTAAGTCCAATATAAAGCCAAGTGGGGGAAATTGGACAATTCCAAAATTGGAACTGAAAGCTATGGAGAAAACTGTTGAGTTAGCCATGGATGTAAAGAATGCAGTTCAAAAAACGCTCAAACGAGGTAATTGCGATCAAGAAGTTGAGGTTTATTTCTTTTCAGATTCGGAAATTACGCTTGCATGGTTGCAAGGTAATCCAAATGATAGAGCTACATTTGTGAGAAATCGACTCAACAACATTAAAAAAGTATGTTCAAAAGGAAATTACTACTACATCGATACAAAATTAAATCCAGCAGATTTGGCAAGTCGCAAATGCAAAGCGGGAGATTTAATTGATAATCCATTATGGTGGCATGGACCATCATTTTTGACTGAAAAGGGGGCATTAGGAAAGCTTGAAGAGCGCCTCTACGAGACCATTGTAGAAAATAGGTCAAAACCAAAAGAAACAGAGGCTCGAGTAGCTAAGGTCAGCCATGAGATATCTGTGGATGCCATCATTGAGATTGCTAACAAGATATCAGGTTGGGTTGGTACTTTAAAAAGGATTGGGTGGCTACGTAGAACCGTCGTATGCTTTAAAACTCCGGGGACTCGTCACAAAGATTTGTCTGGGATGGAGTTAGAGGAAGCTAAGTGGGCCATCATCAGAGCTTATCAACGTCAGGCATATAACACAGAGCTTGATACGCTGTCAAACGGAAAAGACATCAAGACAGGACTATTGGTGGGTAAGTGCGCATTTATTGATGATAATGGTGTGTTTCGAATTCGTTCTAGGTTACAAAACGTAAAACCCTTGGAATGGTCGCAAGTTTGTCCAATCGTATTGCCAAAACTCAACATTGATCCAAAAACAAGCGATGAAGACTTTAATAAAGTATGTCCTTTAACAATGAAGCTGATTCTGTATTTTCATTTGGAAGTAATGCATGGAGGAGTCGACAAAGTTCTGGCTGCTTTAAATCAAGAATTTTACTTGCCAAATGGAACGAGAACGGTCAAGAGTATGATTTACAGATGTGTAAAATGTAGAATGCACAAGAAGCAGGTTCAACATCAACTCATGGGGAGCATACCAATGGAGAATGTTACACCATCACCACCATTCTATCATGTGTCGTGTGATGCTTTCGGACCACTCCAGATCAAGCACCAACCTGGAAAACGCACGCGTCTAAATGCTGATGGTGAGGAAAGACCAGGGGGCAAGGCATGGGGTATCATATTTGTGTGTAGAGCTACCCGTGGAGTTCACATTGAGGTTGCATCAAGCTTGTCTGCTGAGGAATTTCTAATGTGTTTTAGAAATTTTGTAGCGACACGTGGTTTACCTAGGTCTGTATTGACAGATAATGGTACGAATTTCAAAAAAGGCGGCGATATGTGTGTAAGTTTGACATCAGCAGAGCTCACAAAGCAACTTAGAGCAGCATGTAAGTCAAAAAAGGCTAATGCTAATGCAGCAAAGGTAATAAATAAGTATCTCAGACGTGATTCTGAGATGGAGTCAATGCAAGAGGCTATTGACTATGTAGAGAGTAAGTACAAGGGGCAACAGGTAATTTTCTTAAAAGGAAAAGGTGATTTGTTAAAATTTAGTTTGTCACCATGTTACAGTCCTTGGTTTAATGGTTTAGCAGAATCGGAAGTAAAAGTTGTGAAATCACATTTAGTTAAAATCATTAGAACAGTTTTGCTTAATGCAGCTGGGCTTCATTCAGTTTTGAAGAGAATTGAAGCTGTGATTAACAGCAAACCGATAGCTGTCACGAAATCTGATGACAATTCACGTCCGTTGGTCATTACTCCAGCTCATTTTTGGGCTTCGCGTCCTTTAGTGGCATTGCCATCAGGACCTATTCCAAAAACAAATGGTCAGGCTGTGGAACTGACCAAACGAGCCATTATGATGGATCAACTTGTTGAAAAGTGTTGGGAAGTTGTCCAGAATAAGCATTTCAATGAGTTGAAGTCCAGGCATAAATGGTTTAAGAGAGTTGAAAATCCTCAAGTAGGGGAAGTCGTGCTGTTAAAAGACAAAAACAGCAGCGTTAATTGTTGGCCTAAGGCAGTTATTACCAAGATACATCCTGGCAAGGATAAGATTGTTAGAGTAGTCACTGTAAAGAATTCATTAGGTCATACACATGAAAGAGCAATGACGGAAGTAGTCACTTTGCCTATCATTGCTAATATACAGTCCAACAAAAATAATGAGGCTACTGATAAAATTGATCAGAAGTTGATAAAAAAGCAAGAAAATAAAGTTGAACAGCCTAAAAGACAAAGTGCTAGATTAGCAGCTAGAAATTCTAGCAAAACATTAACATTTAGTTTGTTAAAATTCATTGTATTAATTAGTTTCGTACCAATTGTTTTAGGCAGGGTGTTAATACCGCAAAAAGCGTTTGGTGGAGCTATGGTGTTCGATATTGCGACAACATGGAGGAAAGCAGGTGACATTAAGTGGGAAGTCAGCACTGGAATGTATCCACAACAAGATCACGAAACTATTAAACGAGCAATGAATAGTTATGAAGTCCAATGCAATCGTGCAAGCGGATTTTCAAAGTCTATATGTACAGCAAATCTTGATGTATTGAGAGCTTCATCTGATAATGTTAAACGACTCATTGGAGAATTTAAACAACCAGAAAAATCAGAAAGACGCAGTAGGTCTAAGAGAAGCACTGATAATGAGGGAATTGTTACACATCTATGGAGACTTTTGTTTGGTTATCATCAGAATAAGCCTAGTTATGAGGCAATTCAACATCTGTCAAAAGCACAAGAGTTAGCAAACAAACATCAAAAAAGCATTGAAGAGAAGGTAAACAGCCAACTGTTAATATTGACGGATGCAGTAAATGAGTACGAAGCGACGTGGGACAATAGAGATGCAGAATTGAAACAGGCTTTGCAGTTCCAACACGCTCATAGTCTCATCAATGAGCATTTTGAGTATATTTTTGAGAAGTATACTGAGGCAATAATCACAAACGAAGAAATTCAAACAATGATTGGAAAATTAAAAGCAGATCAGATCCATGTTCCAAACATAAGATTAGAACAGTGGAGAGAAATGTTTGACATAAAGATCGTCCTAAAGAACAGTCAAATAATTTACGAAGTAGTGTGGCCGATTCTACATGAAGATACATTAAAAGTATTCAAAGTAATTCCAACGCCAACGGTTGATGGACAAATTTTAGATTTTGAACCACAAATCGTGATTATGAATCCCGTCACAAGTATGTACGTGAAGGAGTTTCGATTGATAAACCAGATTAACGTCACACATCAAGTGATTGAAGCTTCAAGATTAATGAAATTGTCTAAAAAGTCAGCGTGTCCAGTGGCAATTACAATGAATGAGATGTCAATATCATGCGTTTATAAAAAACTACCTGAAGAATATGATTATTGGGTTAAGGTTATTCCAAACGTCTATTGCTTCGCTAGTAATGTTCAAAAGGAGAAAATATGTCATCCAAATTCGAGAACAAAAATTGATGGAATTACTGGTACAGTGATTTTAGAACAGAAATGCTTCATATCCACAACCTTTAATCAGATTGATTATTTAGAAGATCATCAGGAATCTGGAAATGTTTCATCATTCCACATTCCAGAATTAAGTTGGAACGTATCAGAAAGTACAACTCCACACAAGACAATTCTAATTGACAGTTTAGTCAATCAAGATGCAAAGGAGATTCAAGAGGAAATCGATCTTGGAATAGAAGCAAATATCCCAGAACGAAAAGAAGATGATTTAACCACTTTGCTGTTTGCTGTGTTGGGAACCATCGTTGCGATCGTGCTAATCACGTTAATAGGAATCTGTTGTTGGAAGCGCAGGGAAGCGGTAACTGCAGTCAGCATCAAGATGGAGCCCGTTGCACCGAATACGGATCATCCACCTATCAGAACACCAGAGCCATCACCTAAACGCAAATAATAGGGTTTATTAAATTCGTGAGGGGGGAGTAATGTTAATATACGATATTAACATATTTATTTATCTATGATATACTTTTATACTTTCTATAAATTTCACTAGATGTCACTTTAGTATATCCAAATTATGCTTTAGATTTGAATTATTTCATGTCGTTAATGAATTTGATAATCATTAGGTATTTCATAATTTATTGTAATGTATAACTTTAGAATGACGTTATGCTAAAGTTGAATATACTTTCATTCAAGGGCATAATAATTGCAGTGCCGTGTGCAATTTGGTGTGCACATTCCTTTGTAAGGCCTTGAAGCAATTAGTATAAAAGAAGATAGCATAGCATGAATAAAGGAGTCTATTTTTTATTATCAATAGATCCAGACCTTCTTGTTTTAAATATTTATCAACTTCACCATTTGCAGTTGTGCAACACTCACAAATCACGGGAAAAAGTTGTCAATTTTTGATGAAAAGATATCAGATTTAGTAGAAACTTCCTCAGCCTTAGATGAGAAATTGACAAACTCAAATGAACAATTGACGAAAATTGACGAACAATTGCTTGACTTTGGAATCAAATTTCTCCATTTTGACTTAAAAGTGTCAAATTTGAGTGAGAATTTCAACAATTTCAGAGAAGACTTTGGTCAAATTAATGAAAAATTGAAGAAAAATGACAAACAACTGTTAAAAATTGACAAATTTACAACAAATTTGGACCACAAAATAACTCATTTGAGTCAGAAATTTACTAAATTCGACCAAAAGTTGACTAAATTTGATGATCATATGTCAAAAATCGGTGAATTTGAAGGATATTTCAAGAATTTTGTGGAGCAATTTGCCAATTTTGATGATAAACTTTTAAAGTTTGATGAGAAACTTTCAAATTTTGATGCAAAATTTTCCATTTTTTATGAAAAGTCAGTAAAATTTGATGAAAAATTGAAAAAATTGGAAGAAAATTCGTTAAATTTGGAAGCAAATTCAAGAAATCTCAACGAAAAACTTTCGAAAATTGATGAAAAAGTTTCAAAAAATGAACAAATTCTATCAAATTTCACACAAAACTTCTCTAATTTCGATAAAACCTTGTCAGAAATAGCAGAAAAATTCCAAATCATCCCCAAAAACCACACAAAATCTCCATCAAAGTCATTAATCCCCAAAAAATCAAATCAACATGAAAGTTCCTCAAAATTCGACACAAAATTGACCAATTTCGACACCAAACTTTCAACAATCCACAATCAAGTCTCAAACATAACAGAAACTCTCACGAAATTCAGCAACCAGCTCGAAACTCACGAAGAGAACCTCGACCAACTCAAATCCCACTCATACTTAAAATTAGCAAAAATAGTCGACAAGTTCGATATCATGAGATACAAAATTCTATCCTCAGTTGATCTCAAAATTGTGGAACTTGAGAAGAGATTGATTGGAAAAATTGAAGAAATTTTCGAGCAAAAAATGGAAAAGATTTTGAATGTCTTAAAGGAGTCAGACTAAAGATGATTTGTAGCTTAATAAAAAATAATTTTTTATTTCCAAAAATTCCTTCTTCTTTACCTTTCAAGACTACAACCAAGCTACGAAAAACTTTTTAATTAGTTTCAAGTTGGGTCTGATGATTTCTGAACTGTGCACAATGTGGTGTGCTTGAATTTATTATGAATCAGTTTTAAAATGCAGCAAGAGAAGAACGAAGGAGAAATTTTCATAAAAGGTGTAAAAATATGCAGCACAGAAAGTTTTTGATTGAAACATCTGTTCTGAATATTAATTGAGGTGAGTTTTTTTTGGTACTTTTTGTCTTAATGGGAGGGCCGGGTACTCATAATGGCTTCTTTGGGTTGGCTTATGATGTCTAACTTGAGAATCGTGGATTCTATAGGAACTACTGGTGCCTACTAGGAATAGGGTTCTGTCTTTGTTTCTTAATAGCTAGTGGCATAGGTTAAGCTTTTGTACAATGGCTGGCTCTCGGACAGTGTTGGTCAATTCATGCACCACGGCACACCACCATAATGATTTGCCACTAAGGTGTGCCGAAGAACAAAACAAACTTGCCAAGCAGTGCTCTAGTCAGGGATGTAGCTAGGAAATTGAAGAGGATGGGGGGGGGGGGGGGGGAGTTACAAAAAATTATGTGGAATTTAGGGGGTAAGGAAGGATTTTTAAGGATTTTTTTCATATAAACCATAGCAAAATGAAGAAGTTTCATTTAACGTAGGGGAATTTGTCCCCCAAGTACTCCCCTTCCCCCCGGTTACGCACCTGGGTATAGTACAGTGTTTTCTAAGCTCTTTCAACCACGGCTTACTTGAACTTTAGATAGTTTTTCACTGGAAGTTTATAAATTTATCTTTATTAGTAGATATCTTTGCATAGTGACTTAGTAAAGCTTAAATGGCGTGCTAACCCGGTATCAAGATGATCCCATGCTGGACTATTTAGTGAGCTTTTGGAAAAGATATTTGGAAGTGATTATTGGTAAGGAATGTATGATTAAAGGCTAGGGGTTGTTCCATTTGCGTATGAGGTTGGCTGGTGACCAGAACTAATGAACTAGAACTTTAAATGTTATTAAAAGCATGACAATACTGTTCAATAGCTTAAACTAGTGTAATTAGATGGGATTTAAATCCACAAAAATCCATTTAATCTCAACAAATCTTTAACAATCCAGAAATGAGTTTTATGCACCATCTTACTTGCACTTCAAACTATAATAAGCTTCCTCATTATTCTCAAAAGTGGGATCAAGTTATTCCAGAAGAATAAGTTTTGTGCAAATACAACTTTTGACACTAATTTATGAATAAAATTTGAATGAAATATCAAATTCGTGTAATTACTTTGTCGACAATGGAGCTGAAAAAACTGTTTATTTGCAGCATTAAATTTTTTAATTATATTTAACCAAAACTACAAACGACTGCAAATTAAAAGACATAACAACTTGAGTCAACCTATAAAATAAAATTGACGACTTGAAGGCAAAGAAAATGTGTTGATTTTGACTATAACATCAGCTAGGAGAGACGTATTGGAAGGAAGGAACGTGGTTTCAGCATCAAATAATTTCTGGATACTCCCTGACTTCTATTCCTGACATCATGTGCAAATTTACCACTTTTTTCATAAATAAAATTGAATAAGAAACGAAGACTGCAGCAGTTCAGTCATAAATTTATTGCAAACAGTTGCAAGTTATGGATTTCATAATGAATTATCGGAGTTTTGCTGTAAATTATTTTTGACAGGAGCTTTGAGCTTTTGGGGAAATGGAAAAGATAAAGTTTCTGGTTTATTTGGTTGTATTGCAGTAAGTTTTGGGCTATATTGTTGCAGCATGTGCTGAATATTTGAGATTTGGATGAGACTCGATTGCAATGATGCACTATAATGCAGACTTCGTGGTCGTGAGATGAGAAATTGGATTGGAGTGGTTTTGTTGTGTATCAGTTCGGTGTGGTCGTGATTAAGATGCTTACTAGGAGCGGTGCAAAGGGGGAGGGGGAAGGGGGTAAGAAGCCTCTCCCAACCGAACTTCAACTTGCTAGAGTATTTGAGAAAAAAAAATTTTCTCAAAAAATTTGTGGCTGCTCAGTTTGATCTAAGAAGGACGGGGGAGTTGCATTATTATCAACTATCAGAATAGCCCTTCAAAGGCTACCTTGACCTCGAAATAATGTTTATCATTGATTAAAGCTAAAAGTAAGCTTCTATGTCTTAGTTAAACTCGAGTGAAAGAAGATCCATCAGTTTATGAATCACATCTGGCTCTCAATTATATATTCAGATAAAATCACACTATCCTGAATCCATTCAACCTCAATCTAAAGACAATAGCACTAATCTATCCTCCCATATCCTCAAAAAACCATAATCTTACTGACACAGATAGCAATTCTCACTTGAAAGGTACAAAAAAATAATAAAAATCAAAGAACAAAAGAATAAAAGTAAGAAAGAGAAATTGGAACAAAAAAGTCATTCCAACAGGTTTCAGATGTTCAACAGCTCATAAAATCGAATTGTTGTCGTTAATCGGTAATGATCATTGATATAAGGTGGGTGTAGATGAATAAATTAAGGTGAATTTGATCATTTTTGGTATTATAGATGACATGTGGTATGAAAAATATGTTATGGAGCCTGGTTGCGTCGGTTTAGGACTGAAGACTGAAGGATAGGGAGGGATAGGGAGGGATAAGGAGGGATAGGGAGGGATAGGGAGGGATAGGGAGGGATAGGGAGGGATAGGGAGGGATAGGGAGGGATAGGGAGGGATAGGGAGGGATAGGGAGGGATAGGGAGGGATAGGGAGGGATAGGGAGGGATAGGGAGGGATAGGGAGGGATAAGGAGGGATAGGGAGGGATAGGGAGGGATAGGGAGGGATAGGGAGGGATAGGGAGGGATAGGGAGGGATAGGGAGGGATAGGGAGGGATAGGGAGGGATAGGGAGGGATAGGGAGGGATAGGGAGGGATAGGGAGGGATAGGGAGGGATAGGGAGGGATAGGGAGGGATAGGGAGGGATAGGGAGGGATAGGGAGGGATAGGGAGGGATAAGGAAAGACAATGAGTTCAAACCACCATGTTGTTATCCCCCCGACTCACCACTTTAGAGGTTATGTTAACAATAAATTATCAAATTTATTTAAAATAAAAATTTTTAAACAAATTTAATCCACAACCAACTTGAAGAAGCGCCATCCAACCCACAAACTCAAGACAATTTTTAAAAATACAAAAAAATGAAAAAAAAAACCTTTCGAGTTTATTAAATGCAAATTTTTATGCAAATCCAAAGCCAAGAACTGAATTTTCTTCTCCTTATCTTCATAATTTTTCTCAAATTTTCTCATTGTGGCACAAGCAGCGGAAGTGATTCAAATTCAAATGAAAATGAGGCAAGTAAGGCAAGATGTAGATTTTCATTAACAATGAACATTAATTTTGATCTCAATTTAAGTGAAAATTATGATGAGATTATTGTACATTTGTGGGTGGATGTTCACGTGGATTTGGTATGGAAATTTGAGGTTATGTTGGTCTTTTTTTGAGAGAAAATTCAATATTTATGCAAAACAAAACAATTTCACGACGTTTGCATCTTAATTTACTTTGAAAATCGAATTTTGCATACAAAATGGCATTAAATGGAATCGACTGCAATCACAACTGAGACAACAATAATGATTATGTCCTAACAGCGATTCTCTTTTGTTCAAAAAACCTTTTTTATTATCTTGTCTTTGTTGGCTTCTGCTTTGGGGAATAATGGGATGGATGAATGCTAAGTATGATGAGTAATTGTGGTTGTCAGATTGTCTACAATAGCTTTGGATGTCTTATTTGTTTCGTCTTTAACTTTCTTAGGTTATAAACCACTTTGGCTTTATTCTGATCTACTTTAATTCCATTTTATCTCTTTTGGTTCATTCTGACTAATTTGTAAGGTCCCTGACTCTGAATAACAAAGCTAGGCATTCATTAAATCTAACCAACCCACCTAAATTCAAAAAAATGCGCTTTATACCCCATTAATTCCCCCCAAAACACCTACCATACTTAACTATTCCCTTACAACTTAACAACAAAAAAATCTACTTCTTTTTTATCTTCATCCACGATTCCAACAGCATCGTTTGTAGCTTTTTGATTATTTTCCTGCTTTCTTTTCTCATTTCCTTTCCGTTCCTTTATTCCATACCATTTAATTTTAATTATGTAGCTTTCTTTCATGCTTAGTCACTTTTTTAGTACAAAATGTGTTTAATCTACTTTTATTGCATTTTATGGAAGTTGTGCATAATAAAAGACGGGAATTTTCATGCTGTGAGCATGGAAAGAAGAACAAAAAAGATGGTCTGAATGCATTTTTACTTAAAATGAAGCTGGTAAGATTAAATGAAGGTAGATGATGGTGTAAGTGTGTTGCCGACCCGAGGAATATTTGATATAATCTTTTTGCAGCTATGTAGCTCTAAAGTTCCTGTCATGTGGCTTCATTGTTGCTGTCACGTGGCTTCAATGTTGCTGTCACGTGGCTTCAATGTTGCTGTCACGTGGCTTCAATGCTGCTGTCACGTGGCTTCAACATTGCTGTCATGTGGCTTCATTGTTGCTATAATGTAGTTTCAATGTTCGTGTAATATGAATTCAATATTGCAGTCATGTGGCAGCATTATTCCTGTCATGTGGTTTCAATGTTGCTGTCATGTATTTTCAATGTTGCTGTCGTATGGCTTTAATGTTGCTGTCATGTGGCTTCAGTGTTGCTGTCATGTGATTTCAATGTTGATGTCATGTATTTTTAATGTTGTTGTCGTATGGATTTAATGTTGCTGTCATGTGGTATCAAGGTTGCTGTCATATGGTATCAATGTTGCTGTCACGTGGTTTCAATGTTGCTGTCATATAGCTTCACTATTGCTGTGATGTGGCTTCAATGTTGCCATGTTGTAGCCACGTCATGGATCAAGTAGCTATGTATTTCTCGGAATTAATGTTAAATTATGTAAAAAGTAATTGTTATGAGGTGCTGCAGAATTTAATGGATTATAAAATTCTGATACTGTAATGCTGAAATTTTAATTGCAGAACAAACAGTTATGGCAAAGCCCCACAACAGTCATCGAACTCACCCAAAAAGCTTAAATTTTAGGCAGCATTTAAAAATTTTCAAAGCAACGACAGAAAAAACACGTACACAAAAAAAGGTAATCAAATGGAAAAAGGAAGCGGACTGAAAGCAGAATTAGAATTTGAATAAATTTAGCCATTTTCACCATACGATGGACATGCATTCATCCACGAAAAAATGAGATGAAAATTCTGAGTTGAGATTCCTTTAAGTAAATAATCAAGTCAATCATAATGGATATCTGAATGCTATAGGAAGGGAAGAAGTAGGCAAAAGGGACGAATGAAAACGAGGATATTGAGAGGTCAACATGTCAGGAACATTGAGGAGGTGGAGACGTACTTGAAAGAATATTGCGAGATTTATGTGAAATGAATTCGAAATTAAGTGATTTGGGTCGTAAAAAGCTGATTTTTTTTTTAATTTTCTTAATTTGTTTTGAAGATGTTTTAAGATTTTTGATTCAATGAACTTTCCAAACTTTGATGTCAACCTCCACAATTTTCCTCAATTTTCATATTAAATCTCACAAAATATTTATAATGTGAACCTTTTTTTAAAATATTTTTATGAGCTCAACAGAGTGGCTGTTAAAATATTTTATGAGAAATTTCTTTATTGAGCTGCAAAAAGGAAGCAAAAGGAGTAAAAAAATGTTAATAAAGATGCAAATTTAGTGTCAGATTGGAGGAACAGCTTCTTTTTTAAGGGATTGCATCCCTTTTTATTATTAAAAAATTTTAGGAACTGAATCAGCAAAATGGGGATGCCCGAGTAGCACAAGTTGGTTAATCGATCAGAAAATCTGCACCAAGCCGGTGTAACTTTGGCATGGTGCTGGATTTAAATCAAAAAAAGTACCATGCCAGAGTCTGAGCGCCGGATGTTTATTTGATTAACCAACTTGAGCTATTCAGGTTGTGTTTAAATAATCTTTGCAAGCCAAAGTTGGACATCATAGTTCGACACCCCTGGCTAAAAGAATTTTCAGACTCCACCCCTGGAACATTGATCTAAAGGGATCTTAGGGGAATCCCAGATTTCACCAGGGGATCATTCACTTATGACGTCCGAAATTAACGGCCAGTTTACAAAAAAGAACAAAAGATTTTCAGGAATTTCTATTGTTCTTTTTTTGCTGCCCCCTCCCCCCCTCTTCTCCGACCCCCCTCAGAGACGTCATAAGTGAACAACCCCCAAGATTAATCACTTATTTGTCAACAATTTGTTTCAAAATAAAATTAAACATTTATTACCAAAATCCTCAATCGACAAGACATTTGATAGCAACTTTACAGCCTAGATTGTTATCAAAAATTCACAAAAATTCGCTTTTTAAGGCACTTAACTCAGTGGTTGAAAAGCTACCTTACTGAAAACAATGAACTTGAAATTCCTGGGTTTTATGTTTAGCACCGTGATTTGCTGCACAGAAGCTGTTGAGAGAACTGCACGGATTGTCAATGGAACGGACGCAACTATTGAAGAATTCTCATTTCTGGTATTAAAATTTTGTATAATTTTTTAAAACCTTATTAATCAAAAATAATTGTAAAGGTGTCACTTAGGACTAGTACTGGACATAGCTGTGGAGCTACAATCATCAATGAGTGGTGGGTCTTGACAGTGAGTATGATATTCCTTAAAATCTATGAATTCTGAACTTACAAATTCTTACAGGGAGCAATTTGCATCAAAGATGAGTCAATTGATCACCTGAGCATCCTTTATTCATCCACATACCTTAGAGACACGGGCCCGAACATTATTCAAGCTGAAAAATTCATTATTCATGAAGGATTTAACAGAAGTGACACATTTATTCATGACATTGCTGTCGTTAAGTTAAAGTCACTAATGCAGATTAATTTGTTTGATTATAAAGTCAAATTGGCAGTTAAAGGAGCTTTGTACACGACGGGAATGCTGGCAACATTTGCTGGTAAGTTAAATAAGCAGGCTAAGTTGTTTGAACTCATAATTATGGGACCAGCTAAGAGAAATTTTGATTTTCTGACAAATTGAGTCTTTAATTGTCTTTTAAACCTCCTTGACTATGCCTATGCTTTTTGGTGTGACTCTTCTCCTTAGATTTAGATCCCATACCTATTTTAACATGATTAATTATTTTTCTTAATTTCTAGGTTGGGGTAAAAACTCGGTAAGCACTAGTCAACATCATTTTTTATTAAGTCATCAAATTAATGTTGATCCCAAAAAAACCTCCCATAGACATACGCAACTCATTCAACAACACTACAGAAAGTTGATTTTAAGCTTTATTCAGCTGAAGACTGCACTCCAATAATGAAAGCTAATGTTCATCCCACACAAATCTGTGCTGGTCCTATTGCTGGAAATTCGAGAGTTTGTAATGATAAGTATTTTTATAGGTTTAATAAGATTATGTAGCAACAATGATGCTTACCAGAGCTCGAAGTCGATAGGGTTCGAGTCGACTCGAGTTGATTGACTAAGAACCGAGTCGATTCAACTTTTCTTGAGTCGACTTAATTTTTTTCGAGTCGACTCGAGTTGATTTCGAGCTTTGATGTTTACTTTTGTCTGTAAGGGGTACACAACATGATGGGAAATTAACATCATTTCCCACTGATTCATTCATGTCATTATAATGTTGTATTCCTGTCATAAGTCTCTGAATCGGTTTATCTGCAGCACTGTCATTTTAAAAACCTCAGCCAGTAGGGCACTTTGAAGTTGATGACATTAATGTCGCCAAAAATTAATCATTATCTGGCTGGCTGGTTATATGGCAGTCATTTAAACAGACATATTAATGACAAAGCAGCACAACTTAATTCATTTGAAATGAAATGTTTGGACCAGAGTTGAAAGTCGAGGCGAGTTGACTTCATTTTTCTTCGAATTGAATCGATCCAGAGTCAACTTCCACATACAAAAAAAAAACCTAGTCGACTCAGTTGACCCAGAATTGACTCGCAAAAAATTGGCTCGACTTGACTCGAAAAAAGTAGAGTCTGCTCGGTTTTGAGTCAAGTCGAGGCGACTCAAGTCGATCCGAACCTTATCGACTTCAAGCTCTGGTTTATTGGACTTCAAGCTCTGATTAGGAGCAACTTATATAATTTATTAATAATTTATCAATTTGCACGAGATGCAGGAAGTGCTCTTCTAGTGAATGGAATTCACATTGGTTCATCATCTTGGATGTACTCAAACTGCTTGATTCCTCCTTATGTGAGTGTTTTCACACAAATTGGCCCTTATGTAGACTGGATTCGAGAAAAGACTGGAGTGAATTTAGGTCTTAATATGTTTTTGAGTTTCTGATTTAACAACTTGAGCTTATAATTATGAATAAAATAGTTTTTTGACTTAAAATTGTTGTCTTACATTGTTTTGCATTTGAAAATTAGACTTCATAGCTGCTAATCTACTAGATCAGTGTTGTCCAAACTGTGTGCCGCGGCACACTGGTGTGCCATATGTTGTATGCGACTTTGGTCATGGCTTCGCGCTAAAGTGTGCCGTGGCTCAAAAAAGTTTAGACAACACTGTACTAGATAGTAAGAGGTGAATCCCAACTTATTTTGAGAGCACTCGATATTTTATTTTCATTACCAAAATCCTTTATAGACAAGTCAATTGATAAGTTTTACAACTTATTCAGTGAAATTCGTTATCAAAATTTCAAGAGCTTGCTTATTTTATAGTATTTTGTGTCACACCTTTCAGTGGTGAAATTGACGTCTAACAATGCAGTTGAAATTCTTAAATTTTATCTCATTATGCTCAATACTTTCAGTTGTGGAAGCTGTCGACAGAACTGCACGTATTATTAATGGAACGGATGCAACTATCGAAGAATTTTCATTTATGGTATGCAGTTTTTATTTATTTATTGTTGAAATTTATTAATCAGTAAATTAAGGTGTCTTTGAGGACAAGCATTGGACACAATTGTGCAGCTACGATTTTAAACGAGTGGTGGGTACTTACGGTAAGTAATTGAATCATTAAGACATTAGAATTTTCTTGTAATTACAATATAAGTGATTATTGTCCATCCAGGGAGCAGTTTGCGTTGAAGATGAGCCAATATCAACCATTAGTATTCTACATTCATCAACATACTTAAGATCTACAGGACCTAACATTATTCAAGCTGAAAAATACATAATCCATGAGAAATTCAATGCCAGTTATTCTTGGATCCATGACATTGCTATCGTTAAATTAAAATCACCAATAATCATAAAGTTATTTGACTGGAAAACAAAATTAGCAGTCAAAGGAGCTGTCTATTCAACAGGAACTTCATCGGTTACAGCAGGTATTTTTAAAAATATTTGTTTAATTCTCTTAATAATTAAATTAATGTTTTCAGGATGGGGTTCAGCCTCTGTAAGTTAATTGAATGTACTAAAAATAAATCAACTCATTGACTTGCTATTTAACAGACTACAGGACCAATGATGACGACTTTACAAAAAGTCGACCTGAAAATATTCTCGGCTAGTGATTGTAATGCATTCGCTGACAGAAAAGTTTATCCGACTCAAATTTGCTCTATGATTGAAGGAGGATACAAAGGAGAATGTTATGATAAGTATTTTTGCAAATTTATAGACTCTACATTTGGCAGGGAATCGAGTCCAGACTCGATTAGTGACATCTCCAAAAAGAGCTCTGCCAGCTCTGCTTTAGTGTATGCCTTATATCAGTGTTGTCAAAACTTTTTTGATCCACGGTACACAATCCGGGTAAGCCATTACCAAAGTCGCACACAACATGCGGCTCGCATCAGCTACAAAAAATTTCAACGGCACCCCAGTGTGCCGCGGCACTCAGTTTGGACAGCACTGCCTTAGACTTAAAATTATTTCAATTTCAATTTTACGAGATTCAGGTGGACCACTTCTAGTCAACGGCGTTCAAGTGGGAATCATTAGTTGGGGTCATGAGCCATGTGCAAGTCCTAATCGACCAACTGTATCTACTGCGATCGGCCATTATGTAGACTGGATTCAAGAAAAAATTGGCTCTGATGTGAAGAGTAATATGTTTTTAATAGGATAAATATCACTTTTGATAACATACGCCAATAATTTTATTGGTTTGTCAAATAAAATTCCCAGAAAATAGCCTTATCTCTTGAATAAATGTGTATTAACTTCCAAATAAACCTTTAAGAAGCTCACTTTACAGTAAATAACTTGAAACTTTTGATACAACAACACGTAAATCCACAACTCTCTTTAACAACAGCTTACAATGTTCAACAATTTATGAAATTTTAACTTAACTTTGTACAACTTTATCCGTGTTTTCAGCTTGGAAAATTCTCACTGTGCATATAATTAGCATTAATTTAATATTTATGAAGAAATTTTTCATATTTGCATATTGTTTCTGTTAAATACGAGTAGAGTATATTAAAAATAACAACCGACAATTGCATTTGTGGCTAGATTTTTAAATAACACATCATAAAATTGCAACTGTTTGTTCGTTTTGTGGAAAAATAGTGAGTAATATTTTTGTTTTTTTGTGGTTTAAGCGCGGATGAAATTTTATTGTGAAACAATTTTGAGATTAGAATTTAAAAATCTCAAATTTTGAGGTTAAAAACCAAAAAACGCACAAATTTTGAAGTTAGAATCTAAAAAGCTTTCAAATTTTGAGGTTAAAATGCAAAAAGCTTTCAAACTTTGAGGCGAGAATTCAAAAAGCTTTCAAATTTTGAGGTTAGAATTTAATAAGTTTTCATATTTTGAGGTTAAATTCAAAAAACCTTCAAACTTTGAGTTTTGAATCCAGAAAGCTTTCAATTTTGAGGTTAAAAACCAAAAAGTTTTCAAATTTTTAGGTTAGAATCCAAAGAATGTCCAAAATTTTGAGGTTCGAATTCATTGAATGCTCAAATCTTGTTTTATTGAAGAATTAAAAAAAAAATAAATCATGAAAGTTAAGCTGTAAAACTCCAATTTCCCGAACCATTTTCCAATTTTTTAAAATTTATTTCACATTTTTTTCTTTATGATTTCTGTTCTTATAAAGAAAAAGTTCCGGAAAGAGTTCAGTATAAGCAAATAAACATAAATTACAAGAATTTATTTTAAAGATTCTCGAAAAAAAGGAATTGTTGTTGTTTTTTTATGTATTTCGAGCGAGCACAATTCAAGCAGCACACATTCATAATGGGATATGAAAGGAGTGGAAGGAAGTGAGAAAAAGAAATGGAAAGACAGTATAAACAATAAAGTACTATACAACATATGGATGTGATAACTTTATGAAATATTGCATGCAATTTTCTTCTACATTTCCCTTGCTTACGCTTTTACTTCCTTATAATCACGACTGGATGATGATTGCAAAGTTTATTGTCTTGAATCTAAAGCTTTTATGCTGTTATGTGGAGCGAAAAGTGATTTTATTAAGGAATATGCTGATTTTTATGTTTGACTTACTTCTTCATATTTTTTGCAAGATTTTTGGAATTTTAATCTTAAAATATGAGATTTTTGAAATTTAACCTCAAAACAAGAGCTTTTTGATATTTAACCTCAAAATTTTAAATCTTTTCAGAGTTTTGCCATTAAACTTAAGTGTTTTCGAGAATTTAACCTCAAAGCATGAAAAAAATTCAGATTCTAACCTCAAAATCGAAAAAAACTAATTCCTAACCTCAAAAAATTATTAGTTTTTTTTGGATTCTAACCTCAAAATAAAAAAGCTTTCACGCTAACCCCACAATAATTTTCAATACTAAAGTCAATCCAATCATTCTTCTTGAAAAATTATTAAATCAAAAAAGAAGAAAGTAAACAACAGAAATTAAACAAACGAAGCAATGCGTTAATTCTGCCAATTCAGCATTTTTCTTTTTCTCTGAATTTTAATTTTTAATTAAAAGTTTTTTAAACAATTTTAAATTTATCTCTGCACATCGGTCTGAGTTACTGCTGTTAATTATAATTTTTAATTGATTCAGTTTTTCATTCAGATTATGGTAAATAATTGCGAACGATTTTTTGAGGTTATTTTGATTGAATTTTATGCAGATCATCAGCAAAAACCATCAAATTGCACCTCAAAATTGACACAAAACTTTATTCAACATTAAAGGCCTCATTTTCCATCGTCATTGTCTCAATCATTTAAGAAAAAAATATATCGTTCAATTGCTGAAAGCACTTTGTGAGCTTCTTGAAAATGACTCTCGTAAAAAAAGGAAAGAAAAAGAAAAATTGTCACAGTTAAAATGCAATCAAAGACTTTTTTATGTGTGACACTTAACGTAAATACGATGAAATGGGAATTTAAAGTGACTTTGAATGTCGTGTGCTGTGAGATGGCAGGATGTGGGAACTTCCAAGTGGATGTGAGGTTGATTTATAAAGATAAAAGTTGAAAATTTGCAATGTATTTTGAGGGTATGTTCAGAAATTTAACTATTTTAAATCTCATTATGACCAATTAAGAATTGACTCTCATATCAAATTCTAACAATCTCTGCATCTACTTCAAAGTTCAGTCCATCCCATATCCACCTGGAAGTTCAAATCAATCCTTTTTCCACCTGGAAGTTTCATAATCCATCCCATATCCTCCAACCCTTGATTCTCCTGAAAGTCGAATTAACAAAAGTCAATCTTTAAATACAATCAATCCCTTAACCACCTGGAAGTTGAACATACCTACTCATCCTAAGCAATTCCTCTTTTCATCCATATCAATACAAAATCTCCTCATAGTCACGCTTCAAGTGCTCTTTTATTTCTTTTGATGTCACGAAATGCATAAAATGGAAGTCATTCGAGCAACTTTTACAGCTTTTTGGCTTCCTTTTTCATTCGTCTTTGACAAACTTTTTTCCTTTTGAGCTTTTATTAAATCATTAGAAAAGTTACGATGGGAACATGATCGGAACTACAAAGGTTTGTTTGGAAGTAGGAACTTGTAACGTTGAAGTTTAAATAGGAAGGGATTTTGTTGTATTTGAGATTTGATGTGGAAAAGATGGAAGAGACTATAGCTGTGAAAGGCAACCCACGTGCCGCGGCACACTTGTTTGCCTTCGCACAAAAAAGGTTGGACACCACCGGTTCTTAGTTTAAATTTTCAGACGTTCTATTAACACGACAAAGGACCTTCGTCGACCTTAAGTCGACCCTACTAAGAAATCATTTGATTATTTGATAAATGCACCAAAATAATACACAAGAAGAAATCAATACGAAGGGTTTAAAGACGCAATGGAAATTTTAAAGATTTTGAAAAAAACATTTTGATTTTTTGCCCTTAATGTTGTTATCCCCTTGTTAGTAATGTCCCTTTAATGTTGTTATCCCCTTGATTATATGTCAAAAAATCCAAAAATTTGCCTCAATTTTATCAATTTATTCAAAACCAAGCCTGAACTAAACCTAATCCATACTCTTCATAATCCTTTAATATCTATTGACATAAGAAATTTTGTGAAATTTTATGCAAATATTTTCCCAGCAAATTGTTCCTTCGAGAAATGAATGTCTGTGAAAATAATTTTTTGTTTATTGTTCTTTGAGACTCTTTATCGTGAATTTTCATAGCTTGAAGCTTCACTTCACATTAAATCAACAACTTTTGTTGCTTTTAAGAATTTTGTTTGAGATATAAAGGAGCATACCTTTTGTTCGGAGTTTTAGGATCAAATCTTTTACTGAATTAGACAAAATATTGTTTTTTTTTGCAGTTTAGGACCAGCGACCAAATCCAAAGGAATAATCAATAGTTTAATGAGACAGAATTTTGTTGAATTGAATCATGTTTGGGGTATTAAGGCAGTGCTGCTCAAATTTTTGTCTTGGATACACTAGTTGGCGACACAAAACTTGATGATTCACACTATTTAATAAGTTTAAAACAAAAAAATATATTTTTACAAAACGGACCGTCGTGAAGGTCAGAAACTGATGCACTAGGTTCTCATAACCTCTAAACTGACTTCACACAGCAGCTTGCTTAATTTCATTACTATTCTGAGAACTTCAGCCATTCACTCAATTAAATAAAAATTGAGTGCGATTTTCTTAAAAAGAAAATTTTGTGAGCGCGTTTTCCTATAAAGGAAAACATTTGAGCGCGTTTTTCTCAAAAAAGAGAACTTTGAACCAGAGTCACTGGATTTTATCAAAACTAATATCTAAATCATTAGTATCCTTCTTATTCTACTAGAACCTTAATACACAGCATGAAAATCAAGATTTATTTAACATAAATAAAGATAAACAAAAAGAGGCACCAAAAAGTATCCAAAAATTGTCCTATTATGAATCCATTTATGTCTACGAATCCCATAAAAACTGCTCACATAATCAAACACATTTTGAGTTATGAGGATCAATGATTAAAATTTAGTACGAAACATGTGTTGCCTGGCATACACAAAAACAAGAAGAAGTGCCGTGAAAATTAGAGAATTTGAAATGCTTCCCGTGTCTTGTTTACTGTGCTGATGTTAATGAAAATTTATATCCGGAAATGTCGCACTGGATTTCAAATGAAAATACATGTAATATTTCATGAAAGAAAATTTAATAAAGTCAATGTAAGGTGACATGATACGGATGGGTTGTGAAAAAAAAATGTTTCTTTTTGATGAATGTGGAGCATTTGGAGCAGGAAGATGTTATGAATGTTGGAAATATGAGAGATATTTAACAAAGAAGTTCTTAGTAAAAAATGTGAAATTGGGTCATTGAAGTAGCAATCTGATGGATGAGTTTTCAATTTCGAGAAAACCGCGCTCAAAAATTATTCGGGTTGAGAAAAACGAGCTCAAAATTTTTTCAAAAGTTTTCGTTTTGAAAAAAACTAGTTCAAAAGTTTACATTTTTCAGAAAAACGAGCTAAAAAGTTTTCGTTCTGAGAAAAACGAGCTTAAAAGTTTTCGTTCTGAAAAAACGAGCTCAAAAGTTTTCGTTTTGAAAAAAACTAGCTCTAAAGTTTTCATTCTGAGAAATACGAGCTCAAAAATTTTCGTTCTCAGAAAAACAAGCTCAAAAGTTTTCGTTTTGAGAAAAACGAGCTCA